GATCATTGGAGACCGATTGCTCCAGCCACGAATGACCTTGTGCTTTTGGCAAGTGCTAGATTAGGAAGGGTTGCGAGATATATGCTTATGTGTTTAAAAAGGAGCTGTCATTTTGATCTGTCAGCCACCGAAGAACTGAAGGGTGCACTTCAGCGCTGCCAGAAATCGTTAGGAAAGAAGAACGATGCAGCGCTGGCTCGCCGTTATGACATAAAAGATATGTTTGCAAAGTTATCCCACACGAGCGTGTGCGAAGCCATTGACAAGATTGTGAAGGTTCACGAAAGCAAAGGTCCGCGGCTATCAGAGTGAACAGGAGAGGGAAGAAATGTGAGATGGTCAGATCTCTAGCCCATGAGGAGGGGTATGTAACTATGGATTTTGAACTAATTAGAAAGATGTTGGAATATGATCTTTCTCATGCGTATGTCAAATGCGGTTCGGTAACTTCGCGACAGGTGTTTGGCATTCCCATGGGAAGAAACTCGAGCCCGGCCCTCGCTTGCCTGGTGTGTGCGAGGGCCGAAACTATGTTCCTCTCTTCCCTTGGCATTGACAGACACTTGGTCCGGGGGGTGCGGGTGCTTGATGATGTGGCTATTGTGGTGGGTGTGCGCTCTTCCGATATTCGATCTTGGAAAAAAAACGCAGATATTCTGGCGAGATTCGAAAATGCTTATGACGATCAACTGAAACTGGTCACGAAGGATAATGACTCCAATTCATTTGACTTCCTAGGGGTTGTTGTATATGTGAGCATTTGTCCTATTGAGATAAGAATCATGCCCAAAACTAGGAATCAGAGACTATTGTGTCAGAAGCATAATATCAGGATCCACTATCTGGAGGACTTCAACTCCTCGTTCAAAACGATGAACAGATCAATATTGACTGCCAGTTTCCTGAGGATAAGTCGTATGGCCTTCACCGAGGAAGATGAGCTGGCTGCGATCATAGTTATGGTCATGGAAGCAAACCTCCGGGGGTACCCCTCGGAGGTCTCTCTCGATTCTCTAGCTCGCTTTGCTAGAGTGGCTGGGGGTAAGTGGGGAGCTTTGCTCCTCAGGCTGTGGTAGCGGTGAAACTCGACGACGAAGACGATGGCGGTGCACAATAAAAAAAACGAGGGCAAGTGGCAACGTGTCAGTGTTGCGAGTCCTTGCAAGGAAAGTTTAAGACCTTGAAGCGAAGCTGATGGGCATGAAGTGGGTGAACAGTCTGATGCAGGAACTGCCTTCATTCTGGGATGAAGTGTTCGATTAGTGAAGAAGTATGTGAGCGTGTATATCGATTCGTAGTTGGTATCGTGCAGGTGTGTGGCGTAGTGTGTCTTCAGTAGGTTGTTTTGTTTATCCATATGATGGTAGTGCTTGTGTGTGTGTGTCGGTTTGTAGTTGGTATCTTGTAGGTGTGTGGCGTAGCGTGTCTTCAGTAGGTTGTTTTGTCTATCCATACGATGGTAGTGCTTGTGTGTGTGTGTGTGTGTGTGTGTGTGTGTGTGTGTGTGTGTGTGTGTGACAGAGTTAGATAGGTAGATAGATAGATTATTGGGAGAGATGGATATATATATATATATATATACAGTGTTGCCGGCATTCAGGACGGGCCGAACGCGCGAACCCGAACGCCCGAACGCACGGGACCCCTTCGGAAGGCATTCGGCCGTTCGGGCCGAACGCGGACCCCGAAAAAAAAAAAAAAAAAAAAACTTTTTCAAAAAATTCTGGAAACAAAATATGTTATGAAGAAAAATAAACTAAACAACATTTGCCTGGGCACTACATCCAAATTCTTTACCTTATTTGAATTAAAAATCAAATACACAAAATAAACACTATGATAAAAAAATAATAATAATAAAATCAAAATGAGTGAGTGTGCCAGCACCTTTTCGACACCGCCATCTTTGCCGATTTTTAATTATTTTTTGGCATCGAAAAATGCCCTGAAAATTTACATATATATAGTTTACATAATCAATACCACATTAAAAAATTTTCAAAAAATAATAAACATGTTTTAGGCCCCGAAATAAAGTGAAAACAAAAAGTTAAAAGTTAAAGAAAACAAAGTAGTGAGTGGGCGAGCACGTTTTGACACCCCCATCTTTGACGATTTTTAACGTTTTTTTTGGCTTAGCAGAATGGCGTCAAAATTTGTAGGCGTGTAGTTTACATCATAGAGAACTCAAAAAAAAAACTTCAGAAAACAAAACTTATTTTTAGGCCCCGAAATGTTTTTTGGCGGGGGCCGAACCTGGAGGTGTTCGGCCCCCAAACGAGACCCCGAACGCCCGAGCGTTCGGGGGCCAGCCCGGGGGCCCCCGAACGTTCGGTCAAGTAACCCTGTATATATATATATATATATATATATATATATATCAGGATAATTTGTTGTTAACGGGGCGGCTTGTATAGTCGTTACTGTCATCGTGGACTCGTCCACTCAATGGGATTGA